ATTGCATTGCATTGCACTGCACTGCACTGCATTGCATTGCATTGCATTGCATAACATACGTACATACATACATACATAAATACATACATACATACATACATACATACGTACGTACGTACGTACATACGTACGTACATACACACACAAACATACATATAAACAAACACAAATATACATATAAAGATTTGTACACTCACATAATGACATACATACATACATACGACATACATACATACATACATACATACATACATACATACATACATACATACATACATACACACATAGATATATGTCAAAAAACGCATATATACAGACGTACAAATATGCATACACATATATATATATATATACACCTGTATGTGCATATCTATATATATATATATGTGCACATGTACACATATATACTTATGTACTTGTGAACATGTGGACATATACAAAAAAAAAACATGCAGGCATATAAACATGCAAAAATGTAAAAGATAAGAATATAAGCATATACACCAAGGTACGCACAACATATGTTCTTTGTCTGGCTGTCTGCCTCTGCCTGTGCCTCGGCCTCTGCCTCTGGCTCCCTCTCTCTCTCTCTCTACCTATCTACCTCTCTACCTAACCACTTATCAACTTATCAAGCTTTCCAGCTATCACCGTACCAATCGATCAGTCAATCTACCCATCTAATCCTATCTAGCTGAAGTCTGTAGTGCAAGTCGGGTTAATGCTGAGCAAACATCACGCTCCACAAGCCTCAGAGAGCCTTGACTCGTTCGCAACGCCCTCCCCTGACTCACCTGACCTCGTCAAGAGTGTCAGCACATTGGCCACGTCAGAGAAATCATAAACGGCATAAACCCCGTGTGGAATTTGGCGGCGCAAAATGCGGAAACAACTTCTGCACGAGCTGAAGGGTTCGAGTGGCATCGCAGGGGCTGAGATCTCTGCGACTCACGCTCGTGCAGGATTTTCTCCTGCGTGCCATGAAGGTTAGCACTCATGACACTTCGTGGAACCATCTGGCTGGAGCTTCTCACGTAACATCTGTTCATCATCACGGGATCTGTGCGGTGAGGCCTTGCTCACGTAGTTTTGCAGGACAGAACGGCAGAGCCGCAGCAATCCTGGCAGCCACAGCTGAACAGTCTCCCAATGCAACGACTGCAAGGCATGCCACCAACAAAGGACTTCAGACAGATTTTGCTGAGTATTGTGGTGGTGCGATTCCCTTTGTCTCGCGTGCAGACCGGGAACATCTGAGCACAGAAGCCTAGCTTAATGAACGACTAAGAATGTTGGAATAAGTGGACTAGCTGTCAAAGATATGACGCTATGAACATTGTTGTTGCCCATGCGGAATTTATCTACTCCTTTCTTGATTGCCATGCTCCTCTGCCAGAAATGAGTTAATACAAGAACGCGGCGGGTTGCTTAGCACTGACGCTGTTGCGAACAGTTGCAGCCACATTCGGTGACGAAGAGTTCGGTGACGAGAACTCTGCGATGGTTCATTGAAAACTCAAACATCGGTGTCTCGTGGATAGAGTATGCCAGGCCTGGCTAACGCATTCTGCAAAATGTATTCTCAATGTTCCTTTTTGCTGTTATCATAAGGTCCTCTTTCGACAAGCGTCCTCAAACCTATATTGTAAAATCTCCGTGCTCTTGGCCTTCCAGGACGTTTGCTTGCATATCGCGGCAGATCAGTGCTTGATTCAGACACTGCTTGTGACTTCAGGTCTTCTGGGTCAGCCCCAAGTTTGTGTTAGGATAAGCTTGTGAATGTGCGCATGATGAACCTTTCTTAGCATGGAAAATTTATGTTTGGTTCGCATAGGCCCGATCTGCACACAAGTGGGGGGAGTCTTCAGTATGTGTCGGAGGCTTTCATCTGGAATGCATTCTTTCGTCTGGAGGTCGGTTGTACGCACTCTAGTCCGTCTAACACTTTGCTTCTCAGCCTTGCATCAAACACCCCGGTGCTTTCCAGTTCACCGCGTATGAACCTTGTTCCAAAAATGTTGCAATCGGCCACGGTTCCGCAAAATGTACATCCGACATTCGCAGTGCTGAATCCGCGGAAAACGATCAAAAAGCTGCTGAGCCTTCTGCGGCTCTTTTCAGGACATTGCGATTATTGTGACTGCTGTGCTTACTACCACTGTTGCGGTTCGTGTCGACGATCATGAATTTGGTTACAACTACTTTACTGCGACTCTTCGCGCAGTGCTATGATTCTTGTTGGTCTGCGCTCCTGCAGACTCTGTTGATGCTCTTTGTACGGCTGGTTTGTTGTCAACTTTGTGTTTACGTTGCTACTATGTGTGATAGTGGTGCTAGTACATGTACTGGCAGTCCTATGATCGCAGGGGTTGATACTACCAGTCCGAGTCGGAGGAGCATAATATTGGTAGTACTTGTACTCGTCGTAGTCGCTGTAGCAAGCGTCGCAGGCATCACAGTAGTCGTTGTGGTGATGATGACTGTGGTGGTCATCGTAGTAGCATCAGCAGCAGCAGTAGCAAACGTGGCAGCAGTAGTAGCCTAGCAGCAGCAGAAGCAATAGCAGCAGCATGGCAGCAGCGGCCAGCAGCTGTGTCAGCTTGTGGCAGCCGTCGGTAGCAAGAGCTTCGAGGCGTTGTAGTCGCTTTTAGCCACCCCAGATGAAGTTTCAGCAAATTAGAGAGAAGACAAACTATTGAGTCGGGTGCGTAGCGCAAGGACCCTGCAGTTTCGGGCAACGGAACCTTCCCGGACCTCGGAGTCTCTGCTCCAACCTCCCGAATCCTAAGCAGGACCTCAGCGCGCGAACCCTCCTGGGAACCTCATGCATCATCGAAGGAAGTTTCGAGGATCGCTCAGAACATTGCGATGTGGTTCCGAGGAAATTGGTAAAGATTCGGAGGCTCCGAGGTTGTGAAGAGACATTCTACGGGGTGTCAATCCAACGTCGGAGTAGTGGGAGCGCGAAGAACCTGTAAGCACCTGGTGCTGCTGCTACTACAACAACGACGCAGATGACTAACTGTCCCTACTCCCTGGGACCCCCCCACTCCGATACTCCTGCGACTCCGACTACGACGACGGCGACGACGAAGACGGATACGACGACGCACACGACGACGACCACACTGGTGGCAGCAAGGACGACGACGACACTGATCGCATAACTAGCACCCATCTTCGTGCCAAGGGCCTTTCTCTTGTTTGCATTCATTTTCACAACAATCATCGCTTCGACCGGTCAGAGTTGCTACTGGCACGTGCTGGTGTGCAACTGCTCAAGCACGCCGAGGCAACGCTCCACCGCTTGGGAGGCAAACTCTGCTTCCTTCCGCGGGTCCGCTTGCACCTCCGGTGGAGACTGCAAGGGGCGAGCAACTGCGGCACTGTCGTAGCTTGCGACGGACTCCCTAGTAGTTTATCTACATGAGTTGGATGCTCTCATGCCCCGTGCAGGGGCCTGGAAGAGTATCCGCAGTGAGCAGCTGAGAGACTCGCGCTCTTGCTTGAACCTGCCCAGGCCAGTGAAGTGCCCCGAAGACCGCGGTGACACCAAGACATGCCCGCAGAACAGCCCGGGAAGCTGCTTCCTCAGAGAATCATCGAGTGAACGAACTTTGAAGCAGCGTCTGGAACGTGCACTTCACTGCTTTGCACCGACTGTTTTGCTCGCGCGAAGCTGCCGAGCCCCAGACATGTCCTTCATGAAGCCAAGCCTTTTGAGCGCTTGCCGCAGCTCGATCTGGCCGTTGAACTCCTTCAATCAAGTACCGACTGCTCACCTTGCCCCGCTGACGTGCCAAAAAATCCGACAAGCCCCAATCCGACACACCCAACGTCTCCTGAGCAAACTCGAAGGACTGCTGCAAGGCGTCTAAGAGCGTCATGAGGCTGCTTTCCGGAATGTTCCTGGAAGGGATTACTTATACCGCAAGGCACCAAATGGAGTCGGCGGCTCCATCTGGGCGTTATCAATCTTGCCGTGAATACCGATACTCATAATGTTTCAAATAGTATTGCCCTGATGACTAGTGGTAATACGCTCACTGGTTGATTTGAGTATGCAGGAGCAAGAGCGAAGCAGGTGCAGCAGCAGTTGTTGTAATGGTAGTACCAGTATGAGCGGCAGCAGCAGCAGCAGCAGCAGCTATCGTACTAGTAGCAAAAGCAGTGGCAACGGGAACAGCCCAACTCGCTCCGTTGGTGTGGATGTTTGTTGTATCTCTGATGTGGTGTATGTCGTGACTACCGCCATTACTACTAGCAGCGATTATGACTATGAGTCTAGCTTGCTATCTGGCAGCGGAGTGACTGGTGTTGAAGTGTGCTTGAGGGCCATCAGCTAGGCCTAGATATCTCTGCGCCTCGAGTTCGGAGGGATTGCTTATGGTGGTTCGTTCCTTCAAAGGGCCGCAGCCGATGCCACAATGCAGGCATGCCTACATTCTAAACCCACAATGTCAGGACACTAGGAGTTGCGCGGTGAACCAAAACGATCAAACTGCCCGCTTGGGCCCACACTCGTAGTGCTGTGACAGAGCTTCCTTCAGCATGTCGCTGAGCAGGAGCTGCACCACGCACCTTGAGTCTTCACTCTAGGGTGCACGGCACCGTTCACAAAAATGGCAGAGTCGGGTCCCCGACTGGATCACGACATCCTCCTCGTTGAACGGGAGCTCCAGAGAGGCCTCACACCGAGACTCAGACGCACCGAAGTGACAGCATCGTCCGGGCCCCAGGCCTTGTCGACTTCCATGAGCTTCCTTGGCATGTTCTCCTTGAAGAGCTCCAAAATGCAGTTGGTGACCTGGGAAGGAGGGGAGCACAAGCTTGGGGCACATGGGCGACGGCTTCTGACATTCAGGGAGAGGCGGAGAAGCAAGAGACAGCGTTCAGATTCAGATCTACCTCAACTAACTCTGGGTACCGGGCCTTCTGCCACAGGGGAGGGGTGAGGTTCTTTCCCGTGGAGAGCAGCAACTGCTTGAAGCCCTCCACACCAATTCGAGCCACTGCCTGGCCGCGAGGCCGTGGCCGACAGGCTTCGGCACTTCAAAGCTTGGGGGCTGCATGGTTTCTGCGTTGAAGCATGCTCCCCTCCTCAAGCTCGTGCTGGATGCAGTTCGTGATCAAGCGGAGCACCTGAGAAAAGAACGACGGGCGTCGCAGGTCACAGCGGAAACGGCTAAGGGCAGCGCATCTTCCAAGAGGAATGATAGGACATCCAAGTGCGCTTCAATCAGCCTGAATCAACTGAAGCTCGGATGAAGCAACGGGGAGCGGAGGTGGGTGCGGAAATGGCCTCACCAGCTGCGTCAAGGCAAGCAAGCAAGTCGGGGGCCTAAAGCAAAACAACGAAGCTCCACTCGGAAAAATCGCCACAACTTTTACACTTGGCTCCAGGCCCCATGGAGGTGCTATGGCTTGCATCCCGACGACCCTGATGCGGCGCAAGTCCCAAAGTATTGACAGGAGCTATCAGATGCAGGACAGAAACTTCGGCAGTTCTGGCATGGCGCATCGGGTGGCTGCATATAAGCAAATCCGGCTGCCCAAAAGCTCAGGAGGACGAGTAAGTTGATAGGTTGCTGTACCAGTAACTGACCAACAGGGACACAGAAGCTTTCCAGGAAACGTGTCACTTCTCATGGCCAGTGAGTGGTAAAAGCATTGTGGGAAGCAAACCTCTTGGATTGAAATCTTGGCACACCAGCTTCCGATCTAGACTCCTTTGAGGAGAGACGGTAAGGTGTTCGACATCAGCGCCCATATGCGATCAAGGATATCTTAGATCAGATGACGAGTAACAAGCTTCTCGTCAACGCCTCCTCCACCATGAACATAAATTCAGTCAACACATTTGCTGAACGACAAGAGCCTTCCTGCAAACAGGCACAATTCAGCTGATCTCGTCGCTCTTCAGGCAGACAGATCAGATGACCAGTAACATGCCACTCGTTCGACACAGAAGCCAAACACCACCAAGAAGATTTCAGAAAGACATGCTGGTGCGGTCGGTTCACGCGGCCCAGGAAGCAGGCATCAGCTATCAGCTTCCGATCGTGTCCTTCTTCAGAGAGACAGATCAGATGACGAGTAACATGCTTCTCATCACCGCC